GGAACCAAGTCCAGGACATGGAAACAGAGAAAGTCACTGGTTTAATGCCACTTTGTGGAAGCTTTAAAGAGAATTGTTGGCCAGGTAAGACACTGACACCTATGCATTTAACAGCTTTTAATACTCAGTACACATTCAAAAGTAGCTGGTGCAGTGACCCCGCTTATCATCAGTTATGGTTCTCACGATGGTTGTTAGATTCCAGCACATGGTTTTCTCCCAAGCTACGTAGTCATGCTGTAGCCATATGGGAGACCAACAATTGTCCTGCGCCTTCTGTCTGGCACCATCTTCTGTGGATGCATAAATGAGCTACTGCAGAGTAACACTTGTCGTCCCCACTGTAGTACAGCACCAGTCCCTTTTTCAAAGTGCCTCTGTGCTGTCATTCTCACTTTGGCGTTTGTTCTTTGTGCTGTGGGAGACAAGAAAACACCTTCTGTTTGTCTGGTAAATACCTACTCAGCACCAGCTGCATGTACATATAGTTCAGGTGTCATGTGAGAGCCAGGGTGTCCAGCCCAGGATGCTCTCTGCTCTGTGCCATGTGTCCTGCAGCCCAGGTGGCCAGCACCCCTGGAAAGACCTGCTAAGTGGCACTCAAAGCAGGCACATGCTAACAGTGACGCTGATGGAGAAACCAAATCATTGCTCAAGAAGATTTATTTTGTTTCTAGCAACACTCGTCGGGCAGCAGAGGTGTGGATGGATGAATACAAAAACTTCTATTATGCAGCAGTGCCTTCAGCCAGAAACGTCCCTTTTGGAAAGTAAGTGTCACTTGGCCTTCTTGTACTGCTTTACTTAGGAGGCCAGTGCAGGAGGGGGTCATGGGCCAGCTGCACCCTGAAAACCACCCTAGGGCTGGAGTTGGGAACAGCCACCCGGATGTCAAAGGAGGCCCACCAGGCCAGGTCAGGCAGGGGCTGGGGGTGATAGGTATGTGGAGGCGGAGTGAATGGGCTGGGGGTACAGCACTGTAGATAGTCCGGCGACCCCTGCTTGTCCCAACCTGTTCTCACTGGCAGGTTTGAAGGGTTGGTGTAGGGAGCCCCATCCATCCTAAGACTTGTAAAGGGGTCTTGTTTTCCCTCTTCTCCAGTATTCAGAGCAGATTGGAACTTCGGAAGAAACTTAGTTGCAAGCCTTTCAAATGGTACCTTGAAAATGTCTATCCAGAATTAAGGTGAGTCCGGGGGACCTGCGTTTCACTCTGTATAGGCTGGCAACTAAGCAGAGCATTTCAGAGCAGCATCTCCTCTGCCCTTCAGCTTTCGGATGGAGTGGTTAGGACTAAAGAGGTGGAGCAAAGTTTCCACTCATGGGAGTGGCTGGACGCAGAGGCCAGGAACTGGTCTCCCAGTGACCCAGAGCGCCAGCCCTCACTCCACAGGCATCTCATGCATCCCTGAGAAAGCACTGCCAGAATCACAGAACCATACTCGTCTACCCTGAGTTACCCTTTCATAGAACCAAGGACAATCCCATGGTGGAATCTAGTTTCAGCTGCGTTCCCTGTTGGCTAGGTGTCAGATGGGCAGTGTAACTGGGACCTGTTGTCTAGCATCTCTGTAAGTGGCCAGAGGATGTGGCTCCACAACCCCAACCTAGTGTCTGCTCTGTGCCAGCTGCTGTCGACCCTACCCTGCCCAGGCAGTATCTGCCCAGGCGCCTTTGCCAGCCTCCCTTTTCTGGCTCCTAGGTCCTCACCCTTATTAATTCCTCCTCTGCTCCTTTCCCTCTGCATGGCATTTTTTAGAGAGCGTCTGGAGGCAACCTGTAGATCTGCTGGGCTTCAGAATCCATCTGAACTTCA